GCCCATCGATCCAGCCTGTCCAGGTCTCTCTGCAGAGCCCTCCTCCCCTCAAGCAGATCAACACTACCACCCAGTTTGGTGTCGTCTGCAAATTTGCTGAGGGCACACTCAATCCCCTCATCCAGGTCATTGATAAAGATATTAAACAAGACTGGCCCTAGAACTGAGCCCTGGGGGACACCGCTTGTGACCGGCCGCCAACTGGACTTAGTTCCATTCACCACCACTCTCTGGGCTCGGCCACCCAGCCAGTTTTTAACTTTCTTTGATTGTACAACATTAGAAATCATAGAAACATAGAATGTTTTGGGTGGGAAGGGACCTTTAGAGGTCATCTAGTCCAACCCCCCTGCAAGTGAGCAGGGACATTTTAACTCGATCAGGTTGCTAAAATCACACCAGGCTTCTCTGGCTTTCAAACATGCAGGGTCTATAAAGTGGAGAAGATTCTTCTTCTGGACAAGTTCCAGGTTTCCTTTAGAAGTTGGTAATTAATTTAGCAGTTCTCAAGGTTTCAGCAAAAATGACTCAGTGGTTTACTGCCGGGTGTGCCAACCCCATGCAAAGATATGAGTATGGGGGGTGCCTCTTGCTTTGGAGCAATAATATTCCAAAGCTGGCACGGCACCCACAGAGAAACCGTGGCACCTTCCTCACCTCTGGGTGCTGGGCTCACGTGAGACGCTCTGCCCGCCACCGCAGGTCTGCCCCAGCCCTCTGAGAGCCACCAACAGCGATCCACAAGCCTCAGCACTCAAGAAAGTGAAAAAACTTTTTTGAGCAACACTTTGAGAGACAGCTCCCATTGCTGTCCACAGACTTCTGCCACCAGAAAGGGCCCATCAGTCGGGAGGGCTGGCTGAAGTCAGTGCAAGCTCGGTCAGACTCCAACGGACGCACGGTTTTACCCTGGGTTCTCAGGGACTTTTGCTGGGCTCCAAGCACCACGAAGGATTTCGGGGAACACCAGAGGACTTGGGCTAGAATATAATATAGATCACAAGGGTCAGGCCAAGACATTTTGATTATCCTGACTTGAAGCGAGCAGCAGGCCGCCGGACTCCATCACGGGATGGAGGGCTGGGGAGCCGGAGAGCAGGCGCGCCCGGGCGCAGAGCGGCGATGCCCCGCGTTCCTCGGCCATGCGGAAGGATTAGACGGGAGACGCTCAGCTGCGGCCAAGGGCAGGCGCAGCCCTGGCG